AGTCTCCCAAAACACAATCCCTCGCTCTGCCCTGTCCTGAACTAGATACCTACCTGCCAACACATCCCGTCGGCTCTTTGGTTCTTTCAAAGACAGACACAGCAACTTAGTCAGCTTCAGGTCAAAGCGGCCTGGAAGCATCTGTAAGAAAATGTGTTTTTTATCACTTTAAACGCAGGTCAGACTTCCTGTATCTGATCCAGATATCCATCGATCTGTGGCTGAAACATCCTTCTTTGTTAAAGCCGGGCATACATTGTACGGCGAAACCGTAGAATTTAAAGGTCACAGCTTACGATGTCTGTTCAATCTGAAAAAACTCACACGAAGAGAAAAAAAGACAATCAGAAGAAATTTATTGATACAATTACTTTGTCTTTGCTAAAGACGTCAGCAGGAAACATAGCACTTAATTTTGATAGATATGCATGAACAGGAGTAAAGAAGAGGGCTTTTTCCATCCAGGCCTGAAACTGGTGTTGGAGTGGAGATAGATGAAGTTGGTCAGTCTGTAGACTGCTGGTTAGAGAGACAGTCTGCTGAGCTTTATGGGGGGATCCAGTGGACTGCGTAAACTGATACTAGAGCTTCACTCAAGGACCTGGAAGATGAAAGTCCCGTTGGATAACACATGTTGAGAGAACCTGTCCATGATGAGCAAGATATAAGCGACAGTGGAGGGAAAAAACTCCCCATTGGGAAGAAACCTCTTGCAGAACCAGGCTCAACATGGCGGTCTTCTGCCGGACCAGTTGAAATGGGACGTGGAATGCAGTAAGAGTCCAGGAGGAATGACACTCTGATGAAGCTTTAGCTACGATGGTGGAGGAAGGGATGGAGGTGGGTTTAAACGGGGTCATCTGAATGAATCATCCACAGCCTGTGCACTAGGCAGCAGACAAGTTGCGAATCAGAGGCCTTTTAAGATGAACTTGGATGCCGATTGATTTTCGTGGAGGTGTGGTTCAAAGCTGATTGGCTGTGTCCCAGGTGGATGTAGGAGAGCGATCAGTTTCTTCAGTTGAGCTTCCGCCTAGGCTCTATTTCTCACACTGAGACCCGACACTCTGATGCGATCTACCTGCTCACACTGTACGACTAAAAACCAAGTTGGACTCACCTCCGCAGTGAAATGGCGCTACTCGGACTTGTCTATTTGGAAGTAGAAGGGGAATATGAAGATTATTAGAGTGAAACGTGCTGCCTTGGTAATTTGTTCAATTTTGTGCTGAAAGCCCAAAAAATTGAATTCGACAACGTATTTGGACAAAGACATGGCTGAGCAAAAATGACTACTACAGTCAATTTTAAAGAAAGAACTCCATTTCACTCATTGCATCCCTGCCATGCTTCTGTGTTTTCATCTGAGAGGAGGAAGAAGAAGAATCCTTGTTTGCAGAAAGTAACTTTTAGGTTTTGGGTCATTGAACTTTGTCTCAGACAGTAAAACTACATGCTGTTCTGCCTCTTGATGAAATCATCCTGTTAGTTTAATGAACTATTTTACACATTCCCAAAAAAACGAAACAGATTTTCCTTTATTTTGCATAAAAGTAAGGTACCAAGATGTCAATATCACCTGCAGGTTACTGTGCATATACTTGACTCTCTCAGTAAGTACACTGTCAGGTTTATGTGACAGAAGACCCCTGGTTTAAACCACAGGGTGCTCCCTGCCCCGGGCCCCTGCAACAGGAACAGATACAGCCATGACAAACAGCAATTATTACTTTTAGTATCATCATTATCATTATTACAGTTTAAATATCTATTCCTCCCAATTAGACTGTAGTTACAGATTGCTATTGGGAATTCTGGGAAGGAAACCTGGACATTCCAGGATGAGCTGGAATGCTTTGCCTCATGGCGACTAATGCACGGTCCATAATCTCTGTGCTGCATGCGCTGCTGCAGAGATTGGTCGCATTGTGCTGTAGCTGTGCCATCTCCGCTGCCCTTTCACAGCGGCCGATCGCTAACATGCCAACCCCGGACCGTTCCTGATTAATGAGGCCAGCAGCCTCGGCTGGGACCGCATCCCTGTGGAGCCGTACCATTGTTCCTCCTCTACGCCTACATATTTCACCCCATCTGTCAGTTGGCACCTTCTCACTCTTCCAAAGAGTGCTCCACACCCAGCTTACCCAAACTCTTATTAAAGTCCGGTTTTAGAGACTTTAGGACCCTACATTACTTGTTTGTAATTCTGTTGATCTGGATATGAAATGTTGGAGGTGAAGGCGGTTCAGGGTGGGTGTGAAGAACCGACTTTAATGGATGTGGAGAAGAATAATTAAGGCGGCGCAGAGGAGGAAATGAATGATATAGAAAATATGGCATTTGTCATTGCCAAGGTCATCTGGGGAGGTCTCATCCCTGTAACGATGTAAACAAAGTTATAATTCAAAATAAGCTCTCCATACAGCTCCATCTCCCCGCTGCTGCTTTATTAAGCAGCTCCTCTCCTCTGCTCCTGTTCTTAGCGACAATAGATGACCTTTGACTCTATGGAGAATAAGATGGGTATTAACTCCAAAAAGAAATGATCCAAACTTTATTGATCCCAGCAAATCTACCTCCATCTCTGATTAGGAAGAGCTCATGTTGGTATTAGGCAGATTTACAGGGGATCAGGCTGCTTTAGACCCAAACCTAAAAGCTACGGGATTAAGAAAATGTTCAGTTGTTGTAGTGCAGCTGAAGCCATTTATGCTTCAGTGGCTTTAGGTCAGAGTATGGAGGGAAATTTGTTCCATTATTGTTACAGAGAACACGTTTGGTAAATGGAAACCAACAACAAAAAATGCAATCCAGAAACTTTGAAAAATAAATAAAACGGTTTTGGAAAATGACTGTTTTCTTAAATGTATGCTCTTCAAATTGCTTTTTTTGTGTTTGTTTTAGAAACCAAGTTCTCTTCTCTTTAAGTGCGATAGAAACTCATTTTTAGCCAATAAAATGTTGTTGCTAACGTCCAGCAGACCAATAGAAATGCATCTTGTTTTGGGGGGGGGGCGTCCCAAGCAGCATAATACAGGTTAAGGACTGAAATCCAGGTTAAAATTCTCCCACCTGACGAATAAAGTGTACATTTGCATCGCAGCGAAGGGAAGATTCCTGATCTGGTTCCATTACTGACTTGATTACATGTTACTAACATCAGGTTTTTTCTCCTTTCTGCTCCATTGCTTTCAACAGCTTTTAATGTTGCATTTGTTTTTTTGTTTTTGTTGAATCAAAATGAATTTAATACAAATTTAACCTTAAAACTAATAATTATAGAAACTCAAATTTTTTTTATTTTAATTGTAAGAGCACTTCTTCAAAGAAATAAAGAAGAAACCAGACTGAATGGAAAGCTTTGTCAGGATGTTTCTTCAGAATAGTGGGTTGGTATCTGAGGACCTGCTGGTTCCATAAGACCAAATTAAATAAAACAAAACTTACTCCCAATCTTCCTCTATACGAATCTGAATTTTACTTTTTTTTTCTAATTCAAAAGACACCTAAAACCGTTTTAATAATAATAAAACACATGATCAAGATGCATCTCATATGCAGCTCATAACAAAGTTGGGAGATTTACACTATTATTTCTCAGAAGTTACTTTGCTCTTCAGTATTAGCATCTAATAAATTTAAGATCAAAATAACTGTATTTTATTTGAACAGAATAGTTTTAACTTCATGAAAGATTGTTGCACGTAGACAACAGATCCTGTCTGTGGCCACCAAAGGCTGTGAACCTTCCCCTCCCCGCAGAGGATTAAGGAATAAGAGGACAAAGCAACAGCTTAAACGGATATTTAATAGTAAAAACATGAGCTGAATGAACAAAATGTAAACGTTTGCTATGAAGATGCAGCAGAAACATTCAGCTCAGATGGTCTGGAAGCTTCTCATCCAGGACGACTAATCTTTGTCTCAGTCGGCTCGCCCCACGCTGATTTAAGTAGCTTGTGGGAATAATCTAGTTAATACACTGGACTGCATTCATATAAGTACTGATGATATGGTTTTAGGAAGGCCAAAGGTTGGGATGTAAATTTATTGCTTTCCTGTAGTTCAGACAGGAAATCTGCTCTTAGACACTAAAACTAGCGACGTCTCCCTTGATGGACAATAAAACATTTTTCTCTTATCTTCTGTTTCATAAATAATCCTCCTGCTGACCAGTTGCTTGTCTTGCTGCAGTTTGAAAGTCTATTTTTTGCAGCAGTTTATTCCATATATTCTCCGAGGTGTTGACTTCCTGAGCCCATTTCTGCTGGAGGTTTCTATCTGTTAAAAGGGAGTTTTTCCTCTCCACTGTCGCTCCAAGCATGCTTAGTGTGAGGGATTGCTGTAGGGTCAATGAGTCGATGCAATCAGCTGGTTTTCCGAGGATAGAAAACTTTGAATCAATGTGACTGGATGATCTGGTGAACTGTAAAGTGCCTTAAGATGACATGTGTTGTGAATTGGCGCTTTAGAAATAAACTGAATTGAATTGTTTCCTGTCTGAACTGTGAGGACTCACCATCACTCCTGCTCAGAGTGAAGCCTGTTTTTCTGCTTTTATTTGCAACGTTCGCCTCCTGTTTTGCCTCCGCTCCGTTTCAGCTCTACTCTTTGATTCTACAGATTCATATGTTTTGCATATTAGATGCTTTTTTTCAAACCCCTCTACACCCAACATGCATTCCTCACTGTTTTATTTTCCATACAGATCATGAAAACATGGATTATTTGTGGGTTATGGTTTCTCACAGTAGTTTCCTCCGTTTAAAAGTCTGTTTTTTTACTCCAAAGCTTCTCAGTCGATATCGTTGGTTCTTTAGATTAAAGTAGGAGACTAACTTGAATATCAGACATTTAAGCCAACAGAATCGCCCTCTGATCCCAGATTAGCCACTTGTTTAAGAGTCTAACCAGATTAAAGGGATGCATTTTTTTTCAGGAATTAGTGGATCAGGTCCTGTTCTCCTCTGACTGTCTTTTTCTCCATCTGCTTAATCCAGATCCCGTCCATGGGCCCCAGAACGTCAACGTGGTGGATGTCCGCGCCCGCCAGCTGACTGTCCAGTGGGAGACGTTTGGCTATGCTGTGACGCGGTGCCACAGCTACAATCTGACGGTAAACCGTCCCAAGCATTAAACCTCATAATGGGCGTAGGTTTGCAAAGGGACACTAGGGACCTGTCCCTATGTGATTCGATGTGAATAACATGATTATATTTTCCACTACAGCATTGTTGCAGCAGTCGCTTCTTTTCCTTATGCAGGCCAGAAAGTTATACGTCAGCCTGAACACCTAAATTCAGCCAATATTTTATCAACGGTCATCTGTCAATCAATTAAGGAATAAGAATAATTTCCTTTCCCATTGAGTTGCGTCCCAGTGTTCACGGGGATGGACGTCTGTGTCTTCATCAGGCGTAGAGCTAACAGAACTGGCAGCGTTGCGAGGCAAGGGCTCAAACATGTACGGCTGGAAGCCTTCTACACTGTTTTATACAGTAGCAGTTTTATACAGTTTTTGTTAAAAAAACAAACAAACATGCAAATTGAAATAGACAAACGGGTCCAACCCTTTCAAATGGGGTTCATTTGGCTTCTTTTGTTAGCCTGCAATGCCCGATACCTTTCTATGTCTCTGAAGGGGGGTCGTTAAAGGGAATTGTTGGTCTGGCCAAAGAAGCAAGGTCTTCTGCTCTCCTTTACAGGGGCTGGGATTACGATGGTAGTGGGAAAGGATCAACTCAATTGCTGCATTGTAGGGTTTTTTTTTTTATCAGCAGACTGAAAACTTGGCTGATAAACACAAACTACTTCCTGGAAGTCATGGATTTAAATCACAGCGATCCTCCACTTTGGTAGTTCTTCATTTAAAAGATAAAAAGAAGTTTTAATTGGTCTGTTTGGTGATCTAAAAAAAAAGAAGAAAATCAAGAATCAAAATGCATGAATCAGGAAATGAGAGCGTTATGATGTACAGCACTGGGACATTGCTTGCGGCGTCCCCCAGGAGTCAGTATTGGAACCAATGCTAATTATTCTCTACAAAAGCAATGTATGTGAGGTTTTACAGGTATTCAGGTTCATTTTGTTTGCTGAAGTTAGGCATATTTTCTGTACAGGTGAGTGCATAGAGTAGTTCATGGAGGATATCACACCAGAGATAATTAATAAGCTAAAAAACTGGTCTGAAAAAAACAAACTGTCCTTGAAACCCAAAATAAATTCATGTTATTTGGAAACAACAATGGAAACAAAGATGTGAAAATTAAACTAGATACGGTAGAGCTGAAACAAGTAATTTACCTTAAAGTCTGAGGTGTGATTATTGACTGGATTCTTAGTAAAGCTACAACATTTTTTGAACTGTTAATCTTTACACATTCTGTTACTTTTCACTGACTTTCCCACAGCTGAGCTATTGTGTAGAAGTCAATGCTAACGCCTACAAGACGTCAGTAAAACCACTATGAAAGCTGCAGAAAAGAGCCATCAGGGAAATCCATAAGGCTGGATACCATGAACACACTGATTCATTATTCATTCATTCCTGCTGCTTAAATCCTCTGAACTGGTAGAGTTTCAAAGCTCACAACTAATGTGTTAAGCTAAAAATGAAAAAAGTATACAAAATATTTCATTGTTTATCGTACCTCCTTTCACTGCAACAGCTTTATTTAACTAAAAATAGAGCAAAGAAAAAACATAAAACACAACAATTTTCAGAAAAACTTTGTGAGCTATTGGAGTATAGATTTCTAAAGTCATATTACGAGAGTTTTCTACTTTAAAGTCATAGGGAGATTATATTTAAATGACAAATCATTATGGCCTGAACATGTATATAAATTTACTCTTTATCAGACGATATTGTCCCAAAATGTAGAAAATTTGTATCTTTAAACGGTGTTTTTTTTCCGTTATCTTGTGCAGGCCAGTTAGTTACATGTCAGCCTGAACACCTAAATTCGGCCAATCATATATCAACTGTAATCCATCAATCCAATGTTTTCGGTCATAGCATCTCGATTCATATGTTGCAGCTAATATACGCAACGGGAGAATTCAGCAGAAAAGGATTACCATTTCCCTACGACTTTAAACAATTAAAAAAACTCAATGTCTTATTAGCATTAACTAGGTCTGAGTAAAGAATGTTATATTATAAGATAACTGACTGTTAACAGCGTCATACTGTTCGTATAATTTCTCTAAACATTTTTTTTTTACTGTTTTATGTTTTGACTCTTTAATTCCCACCCAAAACGGTTTTTCTTTTAATTCAAACTGAGACATTTTTATTTATGGACTCTCTTGCAGCCCATCACCTAAAACTGAAACTAAAAGCTTTCTAAACCAGGTATTGTTCCACCAGGATCACTAGCATTGTTCTTGTCTGCGTAAAACTGACTAAATGCTCGTTTTCTTTTGCAGGTTCAGTACCAGTACGTGTTCAACCAACAAGAGTTTGCAGCAGAGGAGTTGATCCAGACGTCGTCTCATTACACGCTGAGGGGACTCAGGCCCTTCGTCACAGTCAGGCTGCGCCTGGTTCTGGCCAACCCTGAGGGAAGCAAGGAGAGCGAGGAGATAGTCAAGCAGACAGAGGAGGATGGTGAGAAGCGCTTTCGACACGTGTTGCATCAAACTTCACAATGAGCTATTGATCCAAAATAGAAGCAGGTTAGTTGAGTCTGGAGGCAACGAGGTATATGATTGGGCTCTCCCCAGAGAAAGCCTGCAGCTCCCCAAAAAATGAGTCATTATAAACATCTCACAACAGCCACCGGCGGTTCGGTGAAAACAAACAGCTGAACCAGCCGCCTACATGCTCCGAACGCAGACTCCTCCAACAGAAGGGACAGGATGAGAGATGTCGCTGTCTAAGCCTCGCTGTGTGACTGACAGACAGCCAGGTTCAGGAACTGTGGAGCTAAAAACATGAAAGCTAGAAGTGCTTGATATGTTATGGTAGAAGAAAACAGAAATGTCTCCAACAGCTTAGGCCTTTTAACTGTAGTCTCAGCAACTTGTTTTTTTTACTTCGTTTTAAGGAGCACAGCCAGGCATGGCAGGGTGGCTCAATTACAGTTTTGTCCAAGTTGTTATCTGAGGTATTCTGTGGAAAAAGATTTTGCTTAGTGCTGCTTAAAAGTGTATGGCAGCAAAGTTTGCAGCATTGCTGCCTTATAGCAAGACCTTCCTGGGTTTGATTTACAGCTTATTTCTATGTATCCATAGTTTCTCTCCCAATATTCAGACTTCTTCCCACAGTCTAAAAACATGACTGCTAGGATGGTTGTGTCTTTCTGTTGCCTTGGGATAGACATGCAACCTTTTCAGGTTGAACCCCGGCTTTCACCTATTGACTGCTGGAGATGGGCACCACTTGATAGAAATGTAATTTTGTCATGTTGAAACCAAACAAGTTAACCGAATTGTTAAACATTTAATGTGAAAAAAGACCTAGTTCTTGACATGGGTGACCCGGGTTCAAATCTGACCTGTGGTCTCTCCCACTCTCTCATACCCCCTTCCCTGTCAGCTTCTTGTCAAAAAAAAACCAACTAAATTCCTCAAAAAGAAAAAGACAATAATAAATTGTTCATGGTTGTGGTTTTGTCTGTTTGCATTACTCCTCTCTGCCGTAAAGCTAATTGATCCATTGTTTCCATCTGTATCTCCACTGCCTGCATCCTCATGCATTCCATCCTGTCTTAATAAAAAACAGTGCCAGATTATTGAAAGCCATCATCTGAATAAATGTCCAGCGTTATTTCCCATCCTTCTTTCCTGCTTTAAATCTATTTTTTGCTTTCTGAATTTCCCTGCTCTGCCCTGCCCATGTCTAATATCCTTTTGGCTTTGGATCTCTTGACGTCAACCTGGCCTCTGCTCTGCCTCCAAACCACAGCTTTGTGCCTTTTTCTTGGATTTGTCAGTCTTAATCTGTCTCCCTGTGCTCGAATTTTGTTTTTGTGCATGACTGAAAATTCAAACCTGTACCCCAACTGTGACCTGATTTTGGTCCCACAACTTAACCAAGTTTCTGTTCCTCGATCAAACAGTTTTGTTTTCTTTTTACTGGAACTAAATTATTCCTGCATGAGTTCTTACTGGAGTTTATGGATATGGCCCTTTCTTTAAACCATGGAAACCCCTTCACAACCTGTCAAGTTCTCAGTCACACCATCTTGCTGCTGGACTGAAGGAGCCATAACTGTTCTTCCCTGCTTTTCTTTGGAGTCAGGTACCTGACTCCTCAGCTCTTGGTGGCTTCCTGTCAAACTCCAAATTTTTATTCTAAATAGATTTCTTACAAGTTTCAAGTTGTTTTGTGTGGTTCAACTTTCGACTCCCCACAACACATCTTTATAAAGGTAGTGCTTAATGGTCAAAGGACAGTAAGAAATGAGTTAAAGGTCTTCCTTAAAAGTAAATATATTCAAGTTAGGAGGAGTTAGTAGAACCATGTTTCCCTATAGTTAGAGCTAACATTTTTTTTTTCCCACTATGTAGGCAGTTTTGTACATCCAAACTCTAAAACGTTTATCTGTTTTTCTGGGCATGGTAACTTCTGTCCAAACAGAAGGTCATTAGTTTGATCTTAATTTCCCAGTTTTTAGCGACAGCCATCCCCCCCCCTACCCCCCCCCCCCTGTTGGAAAGAGCAGCTCGGCCATGCCAGTTCTGTGTGTTCCCAAAGATATAGTAGTACTGTCACAATATAATATCAAATACTGTGGAGGAAATCTCGTTCTGACATACTGTCAGACTATTTGCCAATTTCTTTTACTGATGTTACAGTTCATTGATACAAAGTGTAACCGAAATTTTTTGCATGATTCTTTACAATTTTCTATCATGACATCCTTCTTAAATCAAAATCAGATGCTGGTTCGCCATACAGCATGACTATACGGTCACTATTTAGCCAATAACTTCAGGAGTTCATAAACTGTTTGTTGATCAAGTCCCAGTGCTGTATCTGGTGTTTGTCACAACGCGCTATTATCCAAGTCATATTGAAAACATTCTTCCAAATGTTGGCTACATATTACGGGTTTTTTCTCTGGCCAGAAGTTCGATGGCAAATCCTCCCTCTTCAAGTTGGCGATCCAACGACCAACCCATCCGTGGAGGATCAGGATTCAGAAAGGTGGAATAACAATTTTTTTTTCCACTTTTACCCGATGAATTACACCATCCAGCTGCCATGCACGTGGGCATTGTTTAACTATAGCTTTGGTGAATTTCAATGGTGAAGTCCTCTGGAAATCTTCAATAATTGTTGTTGATTGCAGATGTGTCGCAATCAGCAACCCATTGATATTTCATTTAAATTGGGGAGAACTGCGTTAGGCTTACCGCACCATGACGTCACTGCTGGAAGATGTCGGAGTGAGGTGTTACTATATTTGGGCAAAAATGGCCGCTCCCAGACTCAGTGATCACAACGTAATTTATTGTTTTGTTGTTTATTTACTGATTAACGGTAAATTCATTAAATCACCATGAACATATTAGTTTTATGTATAAAAAAATTATCCATTGATTATTCCTTCCTGACCGGACTTTTCCTTTGAGCTATAACAGTTGATTTTAAGTAGATTATTTTTTTACAACCCTAGTAGGAACTTTAGTGTTTTTGGGTTTGTTAAAGCGGGTCTGTAAAACTTAGAGGTTTTATAGATATTTTACACATGTCTGAACAGCTGTTAGCTCTTGGCTTGACTCCTCCATGAGAGTGTTTTCCAAACTGATCTCCCTTCCTATGCATGTCTACTGCAGGGAATGAACTGATCCTCGTTGCTACAGCATGGAGCTGGCTCTGTGTGGCTCATTTAATGGCAGCTTTTCACCTCTCTGGAGCTGCTAAAGCGACATAACATTCTCAGTGCAACCTTCAAAAAATCGCTCTAATCAACATTTCTGTGTTATTCCTGCACCCCTCAGCAGGACAACTTACTGGCATGAATTATTAGAGCCCCGGGTGTCAATGTTGTCCAGCAATTCAGAAAATATCCAGACACACTGTTTTAAAGCTGCTGCTGTCTTTCCAGAGGCATCATGTTGCCCTGATTCAGAGCAGAGCCCGGGCCCCTCCACAGCTGCTAATAATTCATTTATGCCTCAGATCCTCTCAGCACCATTCCTGTGATAAACTGGAATAGCTTAGCGCCTGATAAGCAGGGCTCCCTGTTCTTGTGCTGTTCTCAATGCTAATATATTTTGGATTTAGCTTCTGGGGAACATCACGTGTCAGCCTGAACATCCCACCTTCACCAACCGAGCATGCACTAACTGCATGATGCCTACAGGCAAAGAAAACACATCTGTGGAGAAGAAATTGCTTTAAGGGTAAAAAAAAAAAGTCATAATTGTTTTCTTCTTAATTGCTTTTTGTTTAAGCGTTGTTAATCTCCTGGTTGTAAGTCAGTAATTAGGGAACAGAAGAGCAATTGTTCACACGCAGGCTAATTATTGTTTGTACGGTAATGGCTCCTGCAAATCAATCGGCTTCCCTCTCTTTCACAAACAGACGTGTAAGATTTTTTTCTATTACTTTCCAATCTTGCTGAATACACAGAATTTATCTTAACCCATGTTTAGGGGCTAAATGAAGGATATCCAATTATGAAATTAAATTAGTTTGTTTTTCTTGCTGTCCCTTGATTCATCGTCCTTCTTCTATGATACTAACATCTGCCTTTTAGGTTTTAATAATTCCCTCATTATCCAGATTTATAACTGCAGTGGGAGGTTTACATAGACTTATGATCATGAATAGTATAACCAAACTGGATGTTTAAATAAGTTGTAACCTGGTACTAATACACTGTAAAATTGTCTTTAAAATGGAGCCTAGGTGGAAGTTCAACTGAATAAACTGCTTACTCTCCTTTTTTCATGTCTTTTACCAAAAAGGTACCAACTGCTGGTTGAAAGAATAGAGTTGGAAGTGGAGCTAAAGTTAGCTAATGTTAGCATCCTTGCACAAAAGATCCCCATCAAGGATCAACAAAAGCCTTTAAAAAAAAAAAAAAGAACTTTCACAGTCCATTTATTGTTTAAAAGAAAACGGGTTTCATACCTTTTAATATTTTGTTGATTTTTTATCGTTTAGTTAAATTCAACCAGGCAAAGATTTAAATGCGGGGGTACACGTTTATGTCAACTTTTGATGTTTGTTTCAGAATATTTATTCTCCTGTTGATTAACCATATTCTAGCCGATTTCTTTAAACTGAAGGCTATTACTTATTATTCCGTTCACTTTGTGAAATCCACCATTGGCAGTGAAAAACCCCCCAGTATGACACTGCCACCTCCATGTTTGACAGCTACAGAAAGTGGTTTGCTCAGAAATCCTCATCAGGACACCTCCAAACATCTCTCTTTGTCTGAACTGAACAGCTAAATCTTTGTCTTCCAGCTGCAGCTCTTTTCATGTGCTTCAGCTGCACATTTCAGTCCAGCTAGGAGGTGTTAATTTATGAGCAGGCAGCCTGCACCTTGTTAATCCACGCTGGTGCTAAACTGGCCTCACTGTTGATGGTGACACTGACATCGGTGTTCCAGGACTATCTGATTTGTAAAAAGCTTCATAATAATT